GACAATTCCAGTTTTATTTAAACAGTTACCTAAGGCTTGCCTAGGCGTAATAGTGATGTCTTATGAGCATGATATCTATATTGATTAAGAATGCAGTAGAGCAGTGGTTAATTTTAAACAGGCGATCTGGATCCTATAGGCATGCTTCTAATGATATTGATTAACACGAAAAGAGTATGTTATTTGATCTGATTCAGACAGGCACAAGTCAAACTGATTTTTAACTAAACTGGTTTTAGACCTTATAAGCATGATTTCTATTACAGCTGATTTTAAATCCTATAGGCATGGTATCTAATTATTAAAAGCTGACTTTGGACTTATATGCATGATTTCTAAGGGGAACGAATCTGGATACATGTTGTAATAAAAAATTGGACTTCAATTACTTTACATCATATAGGCAGGATATCTAATTATAAAGCGGATTTTTTAACCCTATAGGCATGATCTCTATTGTTAAAGCCATTTAGACCCTATAGACATGGTTTCTAATTGTGAAAAGTAAAGCATGCATAATTTATTTTAAACCAAAGCAGATCCTATAGGCATGTTATCTAACAAACTATATTTGAAATCAAAATAGACCCTATTGGCATGCTATCTACCTAATTTACCCACAAGATACAACTACCCACCTTTTTCACTAATCACCCCATAATTGTTTACAAATTATTACAGACCAAATGATTGAATTACAAAAGAAGTGCAGAAATAAGAAATTACAACCAAAGGAAGCCTGATCTTGACTTTCTCTCTGAGTTATGTAAGGAACCGCTTCAATGCCAGAATTTCAAAGCCTTTTCTCACACCTGGGTGTGTCAGAGTTCCCTAAGGACCTCAAGGGATTCCGGGCAGTGCTCATACCCAGATTTACATAACCAAATAGAAAGAGTGTAGTGTGGAAGGGCCAACCCATATGTGTCCAAGTTCAGAGGGAGCTCAAGGGTCCCCAAGCAAGGCTCACACAAGAGGGACAGAATGTAGATTCTAAGAATATAGTGGAAGTGCAGAACATTGTTTGAAAAAGAGATTTATTTTTAAAAGCTGAACTGACAGTCCATTTTGAAAGCAATTAGTGACAGAAGTGATTTAACTCAAACTACACAGAATCAGTAGTCATTCAAAAGGGTCAAGGGATTTTGGGGATACATTTGCCTGTAAGCACATGAACCCAGCAGGGGTCTGGTTTGGTCATGCACAACAATAGCTGATGCTGGCATGGCCACAAACCAGTCAAAGGAACACAAACACATATAGGGGATATGGGTGTTTGGGGGTTCATAAGACAGAGTATGCTTTAAAACACACATAGGGGAAGCATTAATCTAAGGGAAAAGGGAACATATTACGACATGCTAATAATGTAACTTGACTGCAGAAACATGAGCAGAAGTAGGCAAGAGTAAAAGAAACTGAAGCAACTAAAGAAGCATGTTGTTGTTGAGGCTTAAAAAATTAACTAGGACATACCAGTAGAGAAGAAAAGTGCAGAAAGGTAAAGCAAACAAGATTCCACAGTCTAGCCTTAGCTATCAGCCGACTAGACAAAGCAATAGCACAAGTAGTAGTAAAGAAGGAGATAGTTTTTGAGTGTAAGTGTGTGTTCTGAACTCAAATTGTTTGTGTCTTTGAAAGAAGAAGGAGTAGGGTATTTATAGTTTTGAAAATGAGTGAAGAATAAGGTAATAAGTAAAGTCTTGATACAGACATGAAAATAATCACAATCAGAATCAATTAACACAAGTGATTCCCTTTAATTAAGGAATCACTGCTTAACGGATACTAACAGGGTTAATTAAGGAAAGAAATCAGCTTGAAACAGATGATTCTTGCCATATAAGGGGGCAGTAAAAGTATGAAGTAAATGATTGAGTCTAAGTACAAAAATATGCTTGATTTGGGAAAGGATTCAAGGTAAAACATCACAGTAAAGAAGGGGAATCAATTAATTCAAACAAACAAGTAAAATTAGGGTTCATAAGAAAACTTTTGCAATCAGTCGCAATATTGAGAGAATTAGGATCATTCAAGAAAGAGTCATGACTCTGCATTTCGACATATAAATAGCAAGGAATGAACATGTGTGCAGGGTCAAACATGTTGACAAAAAGAAGCAACACAAACATACGGTGGTAGTAGGAATAAGCGAGGATTCAGTAGTAAAGGAAATCTACTCGAAGCACAGTACTTGACAAGGTCAAGTAGTCACATAGAATCAGAGTGTAGAGATCCAAACTAACAGGTAAGAAAGTCAGAAACAAGTAAAGACCTTCAAACTCATAGTAATAAGCGAGGGAAACCCTTTTAAGAAATTAGGGCTTCAACAGTATTCAAGTTTAAGAGATGATAAGAACTCATAATCAGATAAGTCAAACAGGGACAAAGAACTTCATCGAACAAGCATACACTCAAACAAACAAGGACAGTTTCAGAAACCGGATAAGACCAAAAAAGACCTAGGGTTTCCAACATGCTGAATCAAGTAGAAGGAAAGCATAAACAATTTGTTTGAACGTAGTAAAATCATAAACAACATTAAAATTAGAGAAGAAATCTTTAAACATTTAAGAGAAAACCCTAATCGTTGAAAAATGAAGAGTCATTTTGAAAGAAAATCGAAGAACCTTCGAGAAAACACTTAAGAAGTTCATAATATGCACAGATCTAAGATAGATATGAAGAAAATTGAAAGATCTTAAAGGTTAGGGTTTCAGAGAACGCGGAAAAGTGAGGAAGACTTTGAAAAGTTACCGATCTAGCCGGAAAAGTCAAGGATCTGACTTGAAAGGCCATGGATGGCCGGAGAAAGGCCATGAACATAAGTTGAGCAAGGACTGGACCAGATCACTTCGAGGTCTGTCCATGAAATCACACAAACGGGCCACCAGAGGGTGTAAGAGGCTAGTATACATCTCGAACGGCCATGGGAGACCATGGATTAGGTAGGGATTGAGGCAGATTAGGGTGGAATTGGGTGGCGGCAGCTAGGGATCATGTGAGGTTGCAAAGAGAATTAAGAGGAGAGGGATTCAGGGGCGGCGAGTGGTGAGAAATGAGTTAGGATAAGGGGTCATTTGGGTTTAATTATGGAAGGGTGAATGGTGGCTGTTGATCTTCATATCAACAACCTAGATTAAAAGGGTAGGTGGGGAATCCGGGTTTGGGTTGGTTGAAATTGGGTTGGAGTCAGGTTTAATTGAAATTGGGCCGGGGAAATTGGGTTTGATTTGGGGTTAAATTTAGGCTAAAAATTAAATACAGATGAGTTGTTATTTAAATAGCCAATTTTTCCCTTTTAAATTATAAAAAATAGTAAATAAATTTCTGAAAATAAATTGAAAGCACTGAAATGATTTATAACACAGAAATAACAATTTAAAAATATAAGGCTTAATTTTATGAATATAAAACACAATTAAATCTTAAAAGGCTAATATTGCAATTATAGGAAATTAGCTTTAAAAAATACTAAGAAAATTGTAAAAATTACCTTAGCCATATTTTTGGCATAAATATAAAGATCCAATAAATAAATCATCAGAAATAATAATTTTGGACATATTATTGGGATTATATGGATAAAAGGGGACAATAAATCAATTTAAATCTTTGAAAATTATGGAAAAATAATAAAACATTTGGACATGCTTATATATGCATATATATATATATATATATATATTCTATTTGAAAGTATTTTGCATATTGAAAAGTATATAGGAAAAAATTGGGTATCAACAACATACCCCAATGATTTGCTTGAAAAACCCACGAAAAATTGCTCAAATATGAGGTCTACAATTCAAAATATGATAAAAATGGTCAAACCCTCGAAATAGAGTTCTTATAATATGCCCCTGTGATTCCTCTTACGTGATCACGGAACAATCCTCGCGATTGCGAAGAACTAAATGTTTCCCAGCACATATAATGCTTCGCATTCGCGGTGAACATATCACGAACGCGATGAATAAAGACAACAATCTATGCGAACGCACAAAAAGACTCGCGAACGCGATGAATAAAAGACCACAAACGCCCAGATCCACTACGCGAACGCGGAGAGACAGCTGCGAACGTGGCCATCTGACTGCATAAGCTTCACAAACACGTGACCACGATCGCGTTCGCGATGAACAAAATCCCTGAGATCCAAGAAACCTTATGCGATCACGTCTTCATCTTTGCGATCGCGAAGAGCAACAGCAACACCAGAAACCAGTAACTCAAAAGCCTGAAGAAATGGCTCGTAGCCCATTCGAAACACACCCGAGGCCTTCGGGACCCCGTCCAAATATACCAAAAAGTTCTATAATATAACAAGGGCCTACTCGAGGCCTCAAGTCACATCAAACAACGTCGAAACAACAAATCGCACCACGAATCGATCTTATAAATTTTTAAATCTTCCAACTTTCAAAACTCGCGTCGAAACATATCAAATCAATCCCGAATGATGTCGAATTTTGTATGCAAGTCCCAAATGACATAAGAGAGCTAACCCAACTCTCAGAATCTCAATCCGAACCCGTATCAATAAAGTCAACTCCCGGTCAAACCTCTCAACCTTCCAAAACTAACTTTCCAATTTTCGCCAAAATGCTTTAAATTATCCTACGAACCTCCAAATTCGAATCCGGACGCATGCATAAGTCCAAAATCACTCTACAAATCTATTGGAATCATCAAACGCCATTTCAGAGTCGTCTACACAAAGGTTAAACTCCGATCAACTCTTACCGCTTAAGCTTCTAAAACAAGAATCCTTCTTCCAAATTGATCCCGAATCATACGAAAACCCAACTTGACCACACACGCAAGTCATATCACATAATACGAAGCTGCTCGAGACCTTAAACCACCAAACAAGACACTTAATTCTCAAAATGACCAATTGGGTCGATACATATGTACACAGGTGGCTCCAAGCATCTATGTAATAAAATAAATTATTATAATCACAGACTTTTTTTTTACACTGTTTTAATTCATTCATGTTTCGTATTGTTCACTAGGAAATCCCAATCTTGAGTCTCGTGGGAGAATTTCATAAAATTATTTCTTAGAAAAACTAGAAATTTCCCTACCCAGTTTCCCCCGGTTAACTTATTCAACTTCATTTCCGTCAGGAGACGGCTAAAATCGGAACCCGAAAAGGAAATTCCGGCAACTGCTCCGGTTGTTTTAATGGGTAGTTCTGAATACTGATGTCATTGTTCTGGATTGTGATTCGTCAATTAGCTGAAATCGAAGCCATGGTATTGTTCTTTCAGTTTTCCTCTCAATTACGTGTTTTCGTTTTTGGACTTAAATTTTTTCACTGCGCCAATTATGTAGATTTAGCAATACATAGTTTATTCTGGACTAATTTAATTTGAGGCATAGTTGATTGATTGGTTCGTACATAATAGGGCTGTAGGTTTAGGATAAAGGACACGGATCTGAAATTATGTTAAATGCCTTTTTGAGGGTGTTATGATTTGTAGAAGTTTCATGTTTAAGTTATACTTGGATATTATTATATGCATAAAAAAGATTCTGGAGTATGTAGAAAATGGATTTAAGTTTTATACACTGGCAATGTGAAGCTTTTTTTACACTATCAATGTAACTTAACTTGAGATAGCAGGTCGCTTACCATATTTAGTGGGTTCTTAGTTAACATCTTACCATATAGAGTTACTAATGACCTGATAGCATAAATCTTTTTTATATCGACGGTCCACAAAACTTAAACCCACAGAAAATTCATGATACTAATACTGCAACACAACAAGTAGTGTTACTGTTGCACCTCACTCCTAAGCTAGTTAGGTCGGCTATATGAATCGTCACTATCTATGTCGCTCCATTTAGACCCATCTCAATCTAATGTTCCATAATTTAGGTTCTCTAATACTAGAAGTTCTTTATATTTTTTTTTTACTGGCATGTAACTTCTAACGAGATTACAGGACGACCTAAGATTTTGCACGGTGTCTCCTTCTACTTCTCCCGATGTGAAAGAAAAGAACAGGGGAAACATTTTATTCTTTTCTATCACTCTTTGTTTACTTCTAGCCTTCCCGAACTCCTAGAAGTAAAGTTTATGGCATGACTTAACCTTAATCCTAACTGGTTAGTATCACCTATATATATATATATATATATATATATATTATATCTTTTCTTTCTCGTCCATTATACTCTTTTCACTATGTATGCACGGATTCTCTAAGAAATTATAAGTCTTTCAAGATAACTCCTTTCATGTGATTTTGTTTTACTTTGTTCTCTTTTAACCCCTTCAATCACCATAATTTCACACTTTGGATCGATGCATCTGGAGCTCAATGTGGAACATGACGGAATCATCTCAAGCGACCTTGTTATCATTGTATCCTCCATCTGTGCTACTTGTACTTTCTACGGTGTGATCATTTTTCTGTGACAACTCAGCCACTCTAACATCCGCGTTTATGTGACACTCATCTTATTGATGTTTTGGACCTTAGACTTCCTTACAATAATGTTGGTCTAAAATCGTTCTATAGAACTTTCTTTTTTTCTTTGATGGTTACCTCCTGGGCTTAACATTTCGGTGACACTTTTCCATTTTTACTAACTTATCTTAGTTTTATGTATTACATTGTCATTTATCATACAATTCTTCTGGAATATCAAGCCTTGATATCCTAAAAGGTTTTAAGACTACGATGCTTAGTCAGCAATGTTGCCAAAAACGACCCATGAGATGTCGAATGTATTTGATGTTATTGGATATGGTAGTGATAATTCCAATTAAGTTGATTTCTGGTCCAATTATGTATATGAGTCAGATACTTACTTTTGAATGGCTTTCCAAATGCCGCATATGGTTTTACTTGTAATTATTTTTTTTTCATTCTTTGTTCATATAAAATTTTGCTGCCACCAAACTTACAGGTTTAGATGGTGCAGTGACACATTTCTTTTATTTTGAATTTTTTCCTTTCCCTCCTTTGCAGGAAACATCAAAGAAAGTAATCACGAGAGAAGAGTGGGAGAAAAGGCTCAGTGATGTAAAAATTAGAAAAGAAGATATGAATAGATTAGTGATGAACTTTTTAGTCACAGAGGGTTATGTAGAAGCAGCAGAAAAGTTCAGAATGGAATCTGGAACAGATCGTATCCTTCTATCATCTTTTGGTTGCTCATTTTATGTTATTGTATGAACTTGTGCCATTGCATATGTACATCTAAGATTGTGCTTCTCCTTATGAATGAATAGCTGATATAGATCTTGCTACTATAACTGATCGGATGGCGGTTAAAAAGGCAGTACAGGCTGGTAATGTAGAGGATGCAATTGAGAAGGTTAATGATTTGAATCCCGAGGTATGTATGCTCTTTTTTCCCGTTTTGAATGCGTTTTGTCCTTATTATTCAGAACCAAATTTATCTTCATCTTTTGATCATGTTTGGGTGGAGCAAGTTTCTCTAAGTTGACGCCAAAGACACTTCATAATGGTGAAGCCATGTTAGGTAATAACAGTCACAATAGAAATTGTGTTTTGGATGAGCTAGGTGTACCCTCCACTTTAATGAATTTACTCTTAGTTTTAGTTTCCCTGAAACACTTAGTTTAGTGTTGTAATTACCTTATTATTTTGCTTCCCCGTTGATAAGTCATGAATTTGTATTCGTTTTAGGTTTTCCCATTTCTTATAGCCAATTTGCAATTTTTTTATGATGGTGGTGTCAAAGGGCCAACTTACACGCACCTCGACTATTCTACCGGGAATCTGCTACCTCCCATCAACATAGGTACCGGGTAAATATGCCCACCAAGGCTTAGGTAAATGAGAAGAAATCACTATGCCCTTCGTTTCAATTTATGTGACACATTTTCTTTATTAGTCCATTTAAAAAAGAATGACATATTTATATATTTGGAAATAATTTAACTTTAAAATTTTCATTTTATCCTTAATGAGAAGCTTTTATAGCCACACAAATGTTAGACACACAAAGCTTTCACTCTTTATGCTTTGAAGACCACAAATTTGAAAAGTTTCTCTCTTTTTCTTAAACTCCGAGCCAAGTCAAGGTGTGTCATATAAATTGAAACGAAGGGAGTACTTTTTTTGCCTCCGTTGAGATTTGAACCTGGTACTCCATGGTTCTTCTCCCACTTCATTGACTACTGGGCGACAACCTTGGTGCAATAATATTTTTTCTTTTAATTCCATAAAGTAGATAATATAGATTGAGTACTACATTACACATTTGACTTAGGCGGAGCTAAATATAGAAATTTCTAAATTCTTCCATGAAAATAGTGGTGAAAACGAACTGGGATAGCTTATTTGCTATTTGGGTCAGAGTACGTAAATACTTGGCTTGGAGGAGCTATTGTGCCCACCTGCCTTTTCTTTTTAAGTTTTAATATATCACTTATATATCTATATGTCCATCTTGGACAAGGTTCTTTTCCTGCACATTCGTGAAATTTGCATCAGCATCCAAAAGATATGAGCGCGGCTATATGTATAAAAAAATATTAAGGAAATTTGAAGATTTTATCCTCTATTTGGTATCTTGTTAGTTTTGATTAGAGCAAACTTATACTTGTCGTCTTCAAGTTTATCCCACATAAGAAGAATGACATTGAGGTGAGACTAAATGAGATTTATGATTTTTAAATGCAAACATCAGATATCATAATTGATTCTATATGTTACACGGTTACACCTCAGTGAATTCTGATTTTTCCTTTTCAAAAGAAAAAATGAAGCCAGATATCCAGTGAGATGTAACATATAGAATCAAATATGATGACTGAAATGGGGCCGTGCTATGCGGAGTGTATTTGATAGGAAGATACCTACCAGAGTGAAAGACAAATTTCATAAAATGGTCATGCGACTAAAAGTATTATATGGGAGGAGACACAACATATTCACAGGATGAGTGTCGCAAGAATACAGTTTTTAAGATGGATATAAGGTCATCCAAGATTAGATAAGATTAAAAATGATTATATTAGATAGAAGGTGCAAGTAGTACATATAGAGAAAATAATAGGAGAAGGTGCCTGAGATTGATTGTTCATGTCCTACGTAAACTTCCAAATGCACTAGTCTGTACTCTGTAGGTGTAACACAATGATTGGAAGTGTTAAAATAGTATGCAATAGACATAAAATCACATGCAGGGATGTTGTCACGGAACACTTCCTTTTTGTTTAATGAAGAATCTTGGAACACTTAATATCTTTCTAATCCAAGCAGATTTCATTTGAGTATAAGTTCTATGCACACTTCACGTCATTTAAAAAGGCAACTGAACGTAATTTTCCATACAAACATTAATTGGAAATCTTTTTAAAAAGGAAGCAATCTTCTATAAAAGGTCAAAATACACTCATAGTGTAAAAATTTTCTTACACTCTCAGTGCATATAACTTAGATATGACAAAGGATAATATAGGCAATGCAAACTAATTGTGATTAAAGAGAAGGCACACCTGCATTAGGTTATGTTTATTGTTATTCAGGAGTCTTTTTAGTTTGGTTATTGTATGGCATGTTAAGGATATGTATGAGATTTAAAGAATAATTAGTTCTTCTCCTAAAAGACAAATTAGAAAGAAGTGCAGTGAAACGGCTCTAGATAGAGCATAATAATATATAGGATTTATATAGACGATCCGAACTAGTTTGAGATTGAATGTTGTAGTAACTTTTTACCTTCTCTTTTCTATATTGTTCTAGTTTTGTGGGATTAAAGGAGGATTTGTGGATAGAAATGAAAAAGGAACAAAAAGTTGAGGACGAAAGGTCCTTCTATGAACAGAACAGTTTTGTTTGCAATTTGAGTAATATTTGGACAGAAAATATTTGTTTCCCATGAATTTGAACAAAAAATGCCCCCTATTTGGTGTAAAATGTAGTACTCTGAATTTCTTTTTCTGCAGACAACATATATAAGCGTCTACTTGATGTTTCTTATCGTGTTCTGTGCTTTTATCTCGAAGGTAACTAGAGTCTTGAAGAAGTGATGGGATTTTGTATATTGAAAATTGAAACCGAACTCTGTATCCTAATTTTTCAAGGAAATAGTGCATAAAAATGAAGTGCTTCCTCTCGATCATAGCCATTCTATCTGTGAACTGTCTGGGTAACAGAGATCCTTTCTATCCGAAGCCTCGACTTCCTTCTTTGATCTGAACGTAGATGAGATGCTCGCTATGTGAAACTTTCAACTTTTTCTCTCTAGTAAGAATTTCAACGAGACCAAGAGGGACCATGAGTTTACTTTCTACATGGGCATGTATCTTCTAATTTGTATTATGATGCATCGTAAAAGATCCCAGACTCTCTTCAAGGAAGATAATTCATTGCTTCAGTATAGCCATTATCACTTATAAATCAGATCAGGTATCTGATAAACCTAAGCATACCCTTGCTACCCCTTTCCCCTAGGGAAAAAATTATGGTAGGTCCTTCTCTCTTTTCCTCCCTCTTTTATTTTTTCTTTGTTTTATTGTTATGTACTGCAGTTGCATATTTGTACGCATTGTATGCTTTGCCGTTGCGTTTCAGAACTTTCTCTTGTATCATCTTAAAAGCTTAATAATCAAGAGATTCTTCAGACTTGGGAGTTGAAATTTTGCAAAATGAACGCCCACTTATTGTGAATTGCAACTTATGTTGATATAATACACTCTTAATAATTTTGATTGATTACAGCATAGTTTTGCCTTCTTGGATGCAGATCCTGGATACAAACCCCCAGCTCTTTTTCCACCTCCAGCAACAAAGGCTGATAGAGTTGATAAGGAATGGAAAGCTTGAGGAGGCTTTGGAGTTTGCTCAAGAAGAGCTCGCTCCGAGGGGAGAGGAAAATGTAACTATTAATTTATAGCTCTCTCCTCTTGATTTCCCTAAAATTGTGTTTTTTAGCCAATGGCAGAGTTGCTCCTTCAGTAACATGTAGGTCACGAGTTTGAGGCTTGAACACCCTTTGCAGAAATACAAGGGGGAAGGCTGCGATTGGTGTATGTCCTCTGTTCCCACTCCTTCACTATCTGGGATGCCTAAAAAAAGGACAATACAAGCCTGATCTAAATGACTGTTTAATCTCGTAGATTACATGTACTTGGAAATGTAAGGGAGAATTTAGTATTTGAAAGGATTGTTGAATTTTTAAGTGATCTTTCCCCGTCTCCATGCCTAAGCCGCTGGCGCCGGGGTTCCTTGCTCTTGGTTGGCTTCCCTAGGAGGGAGTGGGGATGCTACCAAGCGTTATGGGGCCGTGGGGCCAAAATCTACTTTTGTCATCTGATCACTTGGCTTGAGATTAAGACCAACTTTCACTCTCAGAGAAAAGCTTTGGTTGGCGCAATCCTATGTGTAACCCGACTTCTTTATTACATGATTGATTTAATTGCTTTGCTGCAGCAAAGCTTCTTAGAAGAATTGGAGAAAACTGTTGCATTATTGGCCTTTGAAGATGTATCCAACTGCCCTGTGGGAGAGCTCCTAGATGTATCACAGCGGCTAAAGACCGCAAGTGAGGTAAATGCTGCAATCCTCACCAGCCAAAGCCATGAAAAAGGTTAGTCTCCTTTTCATTAACGATCACATTGCTGGTCATTCTTCTCATATCTCTCTCTGAAGATATGAGAAAAATCTTTTGTTCTTTTTATCCTTGGGACATCGAATCAAAGAAAAGAAACTTACGAAGATTTCCTTGATGAGCATTTATATGTTAAGGATCATGGCGTGGAATGCTCTTTTTATGATTTTTCTTTGATTAAACAGATCCAAAACTTCCTAGTCTATTGAAGATGTTAATATGGGCACAAAATCAGCTTGGTGAAAAAGCCGTTTATCCGCGCATAAATGATCTATCGACTGCTGCACTGGAAGATCCTGCTGTTTGAAGGATGACCGAATGTTCCATAATGCATGATTCAAGTTGCCTGTATGGTAATGCTTCCACTGAAGACAGCTTCAAGATGTTGCCTTTCTTCTTTCAAGAACTATAGCTGCTTATTATGGTTTCTTAGATTGAAGTATGTGTCTGTTTATACGATGTAAATGAACATAGTAATTTCCTGTCAGTGTCAAGGTTTCATAAATTTAGTTAGTGCTTGTCATATCATGACCTTTGTGTTTGGAATTTGTGGAAAACATACAAAGAAAATAAGCTTTTGGATCTCATGCAAAGCTCCCTAATTAATCAAACTTAACTTGTGAATCTCGCCCATTTCAGAAATTCAATCGTAACTTCAGGAACAAATCTTTCTCTTCAACATTTTTTTTTCCGAACAGGTTCTTATGATGTTTTCTTCTCGTCTTTTCCGTCTTCTTGAGCCGAGGGTCTTTCTGAAACAGTCTCTCTACTCCTTCGGAATAGGGGTAAGGTCTGCATACACACTACCCTCCCCAGACCCTACTTGTGGGATTGCACTTGGTTGTTGTTGTTGTTGTTCCTATGATGTTTCATTTGTTCACTACGTATGTTTGAGGATGTGTTAAAATCATACATTATGCCACTAATATGAACACAAGCTTTATATGGATGTATTAAAATCACGCATTATGCCACTAATATGAACACAAGCTTTATATTCCTAGTTGCATGAATGCCGCAGGTTTGAATTTCTCGGGATCTTTTCACAAATAGCCGTCCATATTCAATGTTTACTTTTTCTAGCCATATACATAATTTGTCAATTAATGGGGCATTTGCATCTATACCCTCTTTTTGTGTCACATTTTAACTTGTGCCCGCTTTGCAAAAAAAAATTGCAAGCATACCCGCTTTTTCGCATAACTTCAGCACACGGGGCTGAAGTAGCAAAGGCAATCACGCAAAACTTCAGCATTCTAGTAGCCGGGCCTGAAGTTCAGCTCTAGAGCTGAAGTTTTTGTGTTGTAACTGGGAAACTTCAGCTCTAGAGCTGAAGTTTTTGTGTTGTAACTGGACAACTTCAGCTCTAAGCTAGCTTGATATTTCTAAGCTAGCTTCAAATTGATATTTCGTTAGATAGCCGCTATAACTTTGGTGATTCTCGTTGAGATTTTTAGTGATAAAGTATTTGTTCATGCTTATGAGTGATTTATCTGGTAGTAGTAGCCTGTTGCAGTTTGCTGGAAGCCATCCAACTCGTTGTTTCTCATTATCATATATCACCATTTTGTCCAGTAGAGAAATATCTGTAGATGAAAAAACATCAGAAAGAGAAAGATTAAATGCACAAAGAACTTGGATACCAACTCTTATCAAAATCTAGTTCCCCTTTAATATTTGTGCAGATAAAGAACTCATTTTCTCTTCACTTTGTTGATACTACTATTCCATCGTTATTTATAAATGTTAAAACACAACCTTGCTTTCTTCTGGTGAGGTACTGAAGGGGAGGAGAAAGGGAGCTGAAGTTGTTTAAAAAGTGGGTACAAGTTAAAAGTTAAAAAAAATAGGTATAGGTTAAATGGGGGCGACCAAAAAGGGCGCCCCGTGCAATTTTTACTCAATTAATTATAACCAATTATACATATATTATACCTCCACTGGCTATTTTTAATTTAAGCAATTGGGCGAATGACTATTTGGGTTAATTCTTCATTACCCCTACATTAAATCGTCCTAATCTAATAGGGATATTTCCCTAGCTATATTTTATTAGAAACTTATTTACCTATGTTCTCTATGTTTTGAAGTTTTTAATAAGCATCTAGTTTTTCTTACAAATTATATATATTGCTTCTTAAAAGACTCTCACTCCATTATCAGTACTTTCAATTAATGGATTCAATTATATCCTTTCCTCTTTTTTTTCCTTCTCATCTTCTCTCTCCTTTTTTTACATCAAAATCCCTTAATCTACGCTCAGAATCTCCATCTTCTCTCTTTCCACCATTACCAACAGCTTTATATTATTAAAATATTCTGAAATTTTATGATAATTGTATGATAACTGTATCATAATTGTATTTGAGTTGTAACAGATACATCAATGCCTAAAACATAAATGTATCATACGTGTATCACAATTGTATCTAACTTGTATCTAATATATTAATATCCAAAATAATACCTGATACAATACTAATATATTAATATACAATTATCATACTTGTGATACAAAGTGTGAAATTCGTCACGAATGCTCAAGTGCTCGTAACAATATACAATGAATATACAATTATCATATATTTATAATACAACTCCTGCAAAAATTATGATACATATACAATTATAATACAATCGCGATACATGTCTGAAAAATTGTGACACAATTAAGATCTTCATCTTCTTCAAGTTTCAATCACAACTCTACACTAAAAATTTCATATAATCGTATTATAATTGTATTAGTATTATATCGAGTATTATTTTGGATATTGATGTATCATATGCAAGTCACATACAATAAAGATTTTAGAAAGAAAGAAAACAAGATTCAAAACTTACCCACAACTTAATTCTAGAGCAATATTTCGAATTTCATCGTATTGTATCAATAAAAAATAGAGATTTTGGATGATTAGGAAGAAAGAGAGAAATTGAATTTCAAAAGCTTTGGAAGAGGAGAATCTGTAATTTTGGGTGAGGATAACTTTGGGTAAGCAAGACTTTGGTAATCAAGATTTCTTACTATGGGTAAGAATAATTTTGGGTAATTGTTAAGAAAGAGAAAAAATATTTTTGTAATCCTTTGGAAAAGGAAGAATCTTAAATGTAAGAGTAATTTTTGGAAATGGGGATTGAGTGTCATGTAATTGCTATTCTTGAATTTCTTTTTTTTTATTTTATGGTTTTGTATATAACTAGTAAATGTAGATATACAAAGTAATTAATAAGTAACCTACCTAAAGATGGTAAATAGATTTCTATTATAGTATAACTAGCTAAAAACCCCTAATTAATACCTCAGTTCTTGGCAATAATAGGAACTCACCAAATCAAAACTTATTATTGAGCATGACTGCAATCTGCAGTAATGTTTGCTCGTCTGCCTAAGCTTGGTGGAAAATAGCATGCTCAACATGTGCGCAAATTGACTCGACACCACCCTCGTAACAAAAAGAAAAGAATGACTGCAATAATGTATCATAACAAAAGCTCAAACTATTCAAATAAAATGAGTAACAATGAAGCAGAAATCAACCATATGAATTGGTAAAAGACTTTTTAGGTCTCCACCCATAATACATAAACCAATGTAGTAGTACTAGATTTAGAACAACTCTCAAATTTAGAAATTTGCTGGTGTAAAATGCTTTCTCTCATTCCCAAATTAAAGTTTCCATCATCAAAGTTAAGAGCATAACTTAAAGGATCATACTGAAATTTAACTTGTCTTTTGCTTTCACCATTGTTCATCACTGCTTTCTTTACTGCTGCTCTCATTCTACCAAATAAACACTTGCATTGCTTCTTGCTATAGTTGTTTATCCATAAAAAACTTCTCACAAATCCACCCATAATATAATAAAGAAAACCCCACTTTGAAGAAAGTTTTGGTCTTTTCTGTGTTTAGTTCAAGTTCTTACATTTGTATATAGGAATAATATATATCAAGAACAAAGAAAAGGGCCAAAAGGGTGTTTGAAAATGGCAATTTTGGACTTAAAGAGGGAGTGAGGAAAGCAAGTTTGGTTTATGTGTGATGAATGGGGAGGACCTTTATAATATAATTTTTTTTAAGAAAAATAGATTTTTTTTTGTTTTCTTTTTGTGGGGTTTGGTTATATTCAATGGAAAGTAAAATGTAAACAGGAAAGAAACACGAAAATGCAAAAATTTTGGGTCTTTTAAAGAAGCTGTGCCCTTACTAGTTGCAGTATCTTCTTAGTGTAACACTTTTTCTTGCATTGGGAGACTCAAATTCCATGATCCATAGAGAGAAAAAGAAGAATTTTGTTTGGGGGGGGTGCGTGGGTGNTTATATAAATTTTATATGCTTTTTCGGTTACCGAATGTAAATAGTTTCTGACGCAGGCTAAAAGTGAAAAAAAAAACAAAATTATCTGTACCTAGTGCTTGCATCAAAAAAATATATGACATAAATTTTGTATATAAATTTTTATTACGTAACCATAGTGAATAGAAATGCATGCAATGTAAATTCAACGTATTCAATTGAATCCAACATTTTTACACGAAAACATGAATAAAAATATAAAAAATAATTAAAATTTCAAAAAATATTAAATATGAATCAATAATGTGAATATGCATATGTAAATAGAATATAGGTTGAACACATCAAATCTAGATCATAATTCATCTTTGATAATTAAGCTATTCGAGAATCTTGGAGCAACGACGGAATTGTTTCTGTATGACCTATAGGCCACGAGTTCGAGCCGTGAAATCAACCACTGATACTTGCATTAGGGTAAGCTGTCTATATTACACCCTCTTAGAGTACGGCTTTACTCCAAACCCTATATGAACACGATATATTTCGTGCACCAGACCACTTATGTGCGGTACATATTAGGTGGGAAGAAATAATTTACTTATGGAAGGGGTGAATCTTGTGATATCTTTCACGTACGTTTGAGACTTTACTTTTCATAGTAGTAAATCTTTTAGGCCCCCTTTTACATGCGGATAATCATAAATTAAAATTTAAAAGGATTTAGAATTTTATTTTTCACAACTTGGTATATTCTAATTGCTAGGTTAAACTCATGATAGCACAACATTACTGACACAAACAAAATACGTTATCTCTGTACAAGTACTTTTTAAATAACTTGTGATTATAATATCTCCTATCAGGTATATCAGTGAAAGTTTATTTGCATCGAGTGTTTTCATCAAACCAACGATAATATGATATGTCCATTCAGCTACTTCATTATCACCTAACTATGATTAATTAATATACATTTTACCTCATTTATTATTTAACAATGGTAATAAGATACATTAAATTGGTGTAAACAATTGGTGCAATAAGTATTTACTATCTCAATTATAATTATCAGTTAGGTGTTTACACCAACTCAATCTAATTTATCATGGTTAAATGTTAAATTAAAATTTTACCTAAAGGTCATCAAACGAGTCAAGTGTATAAGTATAAAAGACATTACATGCTTACTGTTTAGTGTGAACACTATATGTGACTAATTTAGTTTCTAGGGCTTGCCGATCAGATTTATTATTTATTTTTGAATAAATGATAATGTATAACAGCTCTCAAAAAAATAGTCGATATATATATATATATATATATA